CTTCAGCTGGCATGTCTTGTCTTCCATCGGTTTTAAGAACATCAGCATGGACTGCTGCAACGCTTGAATGTTGTTCGCGAGGAAAATAATATCGCGTCGCCCAGGTGTTCTGTTGCAAACCAAGGCAAACTTTAATAATGGCTGCCTAAATATTCCGAAACTAGTTGGCATAAATGTTTAGAAATCTTAAATTCACAAATTATATTTGTATATAAATCCTATCGACCACCATCAGTAATAAATCCTCTAACGATACATATAGCCAAGTGACGTTTGATGAGATAATCAGTAATGTGATTAGTCAAGTAAGATCAGCACATAAAATAAGTAAAAATTTAATATAAGCCTGCAATTATTAATATAATTAAGGAATTTAATTTACCAGGATTATCTTAATTGAGTGAATAATTCAATATAAGCATGCAGATGGGAATTTGTAATTTAGTAGCTCAAATTATAAGCAGAAAAAACAAGGGTTGTCACATCGGCTATCGTCGAGGGTTCTCCCCGAAACTTCAAGGTTGCGAAAGAAACCTATTTCTTTCTTACATTTTTTGATGGACGTGGAAATTTAATTTGTAAACTTCACATCGTTAGATTTTGCTAAAAGGAAGACAATTAATGTAAAATGTTTAATACAATTACATTATCTTTCCTTCACAAAATCCGGATTCCGGAAAATAAGTTTTGTTCAGTCACACCTTCTATCGCGCAGGATATGGGCACTCGTCGTCAACAGCGATTAGTTTTCTCGAAATTATTACTGAAAAATAGTTGCTTCGTGTCCTTATCTCGGTCTTCGACATCTAACCTAAGGATATATTGACTTGAAACTCCGGTGAAAAAAATATGTCTAGGCATTTGTGCAATGATTTGAACACTACGCACTAATACGCACTATTTAATCACTAACCAGCTATCCTCCTGGGGGAATAGCCTTGTAGTTGATGATTGAAAATTAACTATAAGAGTTTGGAACATTTAAATTGACGATAAAAGCCTTCCTCTTGGATTTAGGAGCTAATGTTCTCGTTAGCAACTAAAAGTTTGAGGTTCATTTAACACCAAACTTAGCCAATCAGCATAATTTACATAACAGATTACTTGTAATGAACGTAAGCAATACATCGTTACTTCTTTTCAACAATCATCAACATCATAACATTCAAGTTGATCGCAATGCTGCAGCAAAGATGTCCTCAAGCTGTTATCGCTTCTCCTTAGCATAGCGTAATCCCGGGGGCAGATCCTGCACCGTCCGGTAGACAACTGCCACGATGGCCACTGAAAATTTCATGCAGGAAACATAACAATATTTCATAACCACACATAACACAAACGATAACAACGCGACATAACCACGGATAATACAAACGATTAAAATACGTCATAACCACACACAACACAAACTATATCAATACATCGTACCCACGCATAACACGAACGATAACAATACGTCATAACCACGCATAACACAAACGATAACGATACGTCATAACCACGCATAACACAAACTATATCAATACATCGTACCCACGCATAACACAAACGATAACGATTCGTCATAACCACGCATGACACAAACGATATCAATATTTCATAACCACGCATAACACAAACGATAACAATATGTCAAAACCATACAAACAATAATAGTATTTCGTATAAATACGAAACACAAACGATACAGTATGTTTCAACAACATGCGACACAAACAGAGTTTTTAATAAACTCTGATATTACTTTTGAAGAATAACATGAAACTTTAACCCTCTAACGATACCAAACGTTTCTTATCTAATTATTCTTATCTAATTTTCTGAAACTGTGACTGAATGCGATAGTAAGAAAATTATTTATTGAACATTGCCCTATTTTGGTAGTGCGTCTGAAACTATGTCCAAAGAACTAAAGATGTTGTGTTTGAAATATTTCCCGAATATAAATTTGCATGTTTTACTGGTAAATAATTTCAAAATTGGTTCTTTCTTCAGGTATAAGGACGTTATTCCTGCTCGGATGCGATCAAACCGGTCTATGAGTTCAGTTGTGCACGCTGTGCATCTACGCACGTTGGAATGACGTCGCGTAACTTCTACATCCGGGTTTCTGAACACCGTGGCAGGAGCTATCGTTCTAACTTGCCTTTCGCCAAGCCTCCTCATTCTTCCGTGCGCCTCCATGCTGAACAGTGCGACGGGGCTGTATCTGAGAGTGATTTCAAGATAATCGGTTTCAAATGAAATTATATGTAAACTATTGAGTGTAGCAACCTGAGGACGTTTGTATATACACAACAGAGACCTTTTCAAGGTTGTCGTACATGGCGGCAACCATCAGTGCAAGTCATTTTGCTCTCACTAGAACGTATCCTTTTTAGGCAGGCTTGTTACAATACTGTTCCGGTCACTCATGTCAGGCGGTAGATAGTTGAAGCCATACATGTTGGAAGTGTTGAATGATGAACCTGTTCAATATCAACAGCAAAGAAGGTCAAGGTGAACACGATTGCTTGATGTTGAAAGCCAAAATCATTCATCCAATTTAGAGCTGAGCCTTAATTGAACACAATGCTTCATTGTGTCTAAATTTAAAGTCTTTTCCAACGGTATGATCTCTTTTGACGTGTTTAACTGCACCTGCTGAATTTCACCATATCAAGGTTAACCGCAGCCTCGAGATTTTCAGCCCTAGCAGCCATCCAAACTCCAGTTCAGCAATAACCCCCACCGGACGACGACCACCTCTCTCTGCCTTCTATCTCCCGTGTACGGATCTCTGTATTGGCCAATTTTGAACTGGAACATGAGGACCGAGTGCGGCTAGCCCTCCTTCGGTCGACCTCGTCAGCGAGATGGCACTCCATATTGAGTCGTGGGCACCCGACGACGTGCAGCAGGCCGAGTACGTCGCCAGCTGACCTCTCTGCGGTGTCGGTGGAAGTTTGTAGAGGCCTACTGAAGTAGAGGTGGGTCGCAGAGCACTGGGATGGGGTGTCATGCCGGTCGGCTCTTTACTTTCAGTTTAATAAGTAGACAAGTAAACATTGTACGACGGTGTCAAAAAACAAAACTGACTGTGTTATTAGAGTTAGCAATTTCGCAAGAGACGGTATCACTTTCAAACTGCTGCCTTTCACCTCACTTTGTTTCAGGACAAAAATGCTGAAACACTCTTCTGAAATTTTATCTTGATTTGTTTTCATGACTGCTTGACGGAAAGTCCTAGAGATAAATAGTCGGAGAGACATAAGAGGGAGGTAAAGCTAGTAAAGTTTAATTTTGGCAAAGTTAAATCCGTATTCTTCTCACGTAACACGTATTGGATGCCATCGTCAAGCAATTCAAGACGTCCTACGTTCTATATAGGCTTCTATGGACCTCAAGTGTAAGTTGGAAGTCTTCAGTAGCCTGAGAACGACAACGGAATTACGGAATCGTAAAAGTTAATTTTGAGAGCATTTGGCCCGGCAATTCTAAAAATCTTCTAGAACTTGAGGATTATCGGACACATGAAACCAAAGGAGCGGAGGAGGAAGAGTTGTCCGTCTCGTACGCACGCCACGCCACGCAGGCCATCGTGGGAAGCGTGAACGCGGCAGACGAACAGGAGCAAAGCGCGCTTCTCCGCCTGCGTGTTATGGGGGCTGCCTGCTCAAGGACGAATAAATGCATAATGTTTCTAATTATTTTAATATTAATCTCTCTGCACAATGCATTTACGAGGCGACAAGATGCACAGGAATAATAACACATAGTTTCAACAAAACAACAGATCGTATGAGTCAGTTCAGGGAGCGTTCCAGGTCCATTCTGAACATTTGGATCCATTCTGAATATTTTAAAATCATGCAATTTGAGGCGTACGCAAAGGCTTTTCGATTTCATCATCTCTTGCCAATAAAACCCCAGATGTCAACTAACAACAAAAAATTATTTGTCTGCAAGCCTTCTGAAACCATTTCTTCCTGTTCGCGCATCTTCTGTCGCCCCGGATGCGCATTCGTCAACAGCGATTAGTTTTTTTTTCTAAGAATCGCTTCGCGTCCTTATCTCGGTCCCAGGCTTTAACCTAATGAAATATGGACTTGAAAAACCGTTACAAAAAAAGAGAAAAGGCGTGTGTGCATTTGTTCAGTGTTTTGAAAACCACACACTGATACAAAAATTTCCCTTATAGAGGAGAATAAAATGCTGTACCCTGGGAAATATCCTATTATCGAGTTACACAGAGAGTTACTCATGCTAATCGAGATTTACTCAGAACCTTCAATTTGAGATAAGCCCTCCTCCTGGCTTGAATTTAAAATAGTTTTTTTTTTACAAAATGGCTTGAACGAGTTGATGGCTTCCATGATTATTAATCTGAGGTTAATTTTTTACGGAACTTGAGTTAATATAGGCAGTTAGCATAGTTTACATAATAGGCATATATCAGTGACATGCAACGAATTCAAGTAACATATTTACACTTCTTTTCAACGAACATCAATATTATAACATTCGAGTTGATGCAATGCTGCAGCATAGATGTCCTCAAAGATGTCACTTCTCCTTAACATAGTGTAATCTCTTGGGAAGATCCGGTAACATCTGAGCGCGGGGCGCAGGAAATGTAATCATATCCTGCAGTGTATGATGGGGTCCTGCACTATCCTCATCATATCATCAAGTGCAGGGTTTGGTGTTCTCGTAGCCAGTACATCGGCTGGTGGGTACAGTGACTCGAAGTGCGTACATCGGCTGGTGGGTACAGTGACTCGAAGTGCGCACATCGGCTGGTGGGTACAGTGACTCGAAGTGCGTACATCGGCTGGTGGGTACAGTGACTCGAAGTGCGTCCATCGGCTGTTGGGTACAGTGACTCGAAGTGAGTGCTTCATCTTACGATTAGGCTATAGAGACTCGGAAGTAGTACGTAGGAACGCGAAATGTCTTCGCTAAGATGTTGTCTTGCCTTTTTGCACATTCTGTGGTCGACTGTATTTCTGTTGTCGGAGGCCGGTGGCCAAACTGCCGCACAGCAACGCTCACCGACAGTTGGCGCCGTTAATCAATGTCTTGCTAGCGTCGTAACCGCGCTGAACGTCATCGGCAATCCTCGAAGCGAAGGAGAAATCAGCATCGATAAGTTTACCCCGCAGCAACAACGAACTTACGAAGAACTTCAGGAACTTGCGGATGTTTTGAGGACTGAAACCAGCGGCACTGAGAAGAAACCGTCAGTTGTGAATGTGGTCAAGGACCTGATGGCTTATCGGCGGTGCATCGTAGAAGGTGGCGAGTCTGCCTCGCCCAGCGTTGGCACTACTCCAGCGATGGTAAAATATTCAATTATTTTGTAACTGTAGTTTTAGACGTTCACTTTCATATTACAGGCATCCTATAGTCCTCCAATCGGGAATAATTTTTAAATATGGAGGTAGAATTTCAAGAGCCACTAAACACTTGCCAGGCAGGAACAATTCAATGGAGACATCGTCGAATTTTGATTTCTCTCTTCACTTCTTTATTGTTAGAATGCGGGATCAGCTATACAACACATAAATAGAAATAAAAGAACAGAAAAATAATTAGCAAAATTATTGGATTCTAATCAATATATAAATTCAGAATTAGACGAGTAATTTCAAGATGCAAATAAATAATCACAGTGTGACACAATCTTCAAGTTACGCGAATGGAGTGCCCTAGTCTTCTTGCACAAACTCTTCCCATGATAATGTAGAATATATTTCACTCTGTCAAGAGAAAGTAGACAAAAACTGTGAAACAGTTCACTAGAACTGTGAAACTATTCTACCTTTGACAAGGCTGTACAAGGAAGATGCAAAAAAAAACTCGCAACACTATTTGCACGAACGGCCAAATAAATCTGAAGTAACTCGATTTTCGGATTTCCCTCAGACGAAATCAAATTTTTAGTACTGGGCGACCAAATTGAGTTAATAAAAATGTTGGATGCAACTCGTAGACACAAAATAAAAGATGATTTTGCTTATTATTTAATTTCCCAGGCACCGTTCACTCCCGCGGATTGTTCGGAGCAGCCGGAGAAGACATCGGGCGTGTACACCATCTACCCCAGCGGCGCTGCCGTCCAAGTTTACTGCGACCAGACGACGGACGGCGGCGGCTGGACGGTCTTCCTGCGGCGCCAGAAGCAGGAGCCTCAACTCAACTTCAGTCGAACCTTCAAGGAATACGAAGAAGGATTCGGCAGTCCCACTTTGCTGAAGGCAATATGCAGATGACACAATATACTGAAGGCACACAGTACTGAAGTGTAACACGACAAGAAGACCCGGTACAGCATCAGCTGTGAATGAACAGTCGGTAGGTGTTGGACCCGGTAGAGACTTGAATTTAACTGGATGACTTCAAATAACTCGCCTAAAAAACATAAAGATTCACACTTAAATATTACGAGTATATAATGGAGAAAACTTCTAATTTTTTGACATTTTTTGGGAAACAGGAAAGGATGTTGAAAAAAGAAATAGCATTCCTATTATCGTGCTCGGGAATAACACTGTATCGCTCTGACATTAATTTCTTGATTTGGGTGAATACCCTGATAAATTCGGAAACACATTTTGCTGGAAAATTTCTACAAAAAATCAAATTCCGCCTGCATAGCTTTGAATATAGCAAAAATACGATATCCACGTGTCAGCGACAGCGTCTAGTAGGGCTAAGTAGGCCATGGGCCTGTCGCCGATTCTTAACATCGCAGAACATTCACAGCATTTTGCGGTCTCGAACTCGCAGCAAACTGCTACAATTCTGCTGTGCTTAAGAGTCGGGTGGAGCGGTCGCTGAACGCCGCATCGAGACCAAACGGCCTCACGCGGTTAAAATTTCTCGGCCAGGCTCTGCCTTCTAACGTTTGGCACATCCTACGTCTGGCTGCACACTACCCCTCCTCCACATTTTTAATCAGCGAGCGACATACTAATTTTTCTGCGAAATTGTACTCTATTATCAAATTGGTTGTTTTCTTACTAATAACCTTTATTGACAATACGTGTTCATAATTTACGGCAATGCTGTGTTGTAATAAAACAACCAAGTTAATTTAGGCTGTTTCATAAAAGCACGTGAAAAGATCGTTCAAGCAGAAATACTATATAATTTCATGTTAATAGAAATGCATATGTCACGAAGCATCAACAGTAATGTGCAAAAATGTGTCATGGCAATTATTATTTAAATGAAAGCTTTGATTGCTTTCATTATTTAATTTTATGACACACAAAGCAATTTTTTGTGAATATTGTCGGCTTTCAAATTTCTGTAAAAATGAGTACGCAGTTCACGCCTATTCAGTAGAATGAATGCAGTCATGAATCAGGGAACCAGAGACCAGCAAGGCTGAATATTGTTCATGACTTCCTATCTTCTCCAGCTTGTAACCCTCACCCCTAATGCTGCAGACGTGGGGAGTCCTTGCCGCCAAATGCCCACTTTGGCGGCAAGGAATTCGGGGGGAGAGGCGGGGAAAGCGATATATTGGTGAACGAATTAATTGTTAAAGTAATTGTGTTGGATATTTTACCTAAGTGTGTGACATAATATTTACGGCATGCAGGTCTTTTATTGGCATATGTGTAACTTTCATAGCCTCGAAGTTACGTAATTTTCGGGTTCCTGAATGAATTGGCACAGGTTGGTGAAAGGCTGTGAAGGCCGTGAATGACTCTTTGTTTCCACACACTCCCTCCCCCCCCCCTATTCCGCTTCTCACATTCTCTCCATAGATGACGGTGGAGGCCTCCTTCCCCCTCTCCCTGTACTGTTACAATTTACTTGATTCTTATGTAACTTTTCACAGGAATTGACGACAGCTATTATTTAAAGGACCATAATCGTACAAATAGTACTTAGTGTGCTACTATTATAGAAGCTTATTGGATGCAATTATTTCCCATTAATAATTCGTTGAAGAATTGACGAACAATAATTCC